CCGAAATTCTGGGTTCTTGCTCTTTGTTGATATTCAGAATACTGTGGACTTTTATTTTTTCTTGTTCTTCGCTTAACTAGTGAGTTACTGGACATCGTAGTTTCATTCCTATGTATTTGTGACTTGCATATGTTTTCACTCTTGAAGTTTGCTTAATGTGTTCTTCTAGGTTGTTTTGTATGCAATTCTGTTCGCTTTACTTCAATTTTTTAGGTTTGTAGCTTTTAGCTTCGTAATGTTGATAGTTTGAAGTATACCTCAACCTGATTCTATTAAATTAGATATTTTTCAAGCATGACTAGTCAATATGTTACGAATTACTGTTGTTTGGGACATTTACTCTTGTTAACATCTTTTGGTGCTTAATTTTTCCTTAGGCTATCAATCCTATCATTTGAACATGTTTTACCTGCATAATTTGTGCTCTCTCTTTCGTTAGCTAGTCAATTGTATTCAAAGCATGAACGTTTACACTCACTGTATGGCACAAGTCTATTTTCCTATCTTATTCTGCATTTCTGTGGTGATAGCTTGCCTATATAGCATGTTTTGATCTTGTTCTCTATCAGTATGCCCTTTAGCATCTTTTGATTCCCGGATTCACTAGTAGTTATAATCTATTTTTATCATGTCTATATGTTCTTCTGCTACCAAATTAGTATGACTGTTTCATAACATTAGGACCTATACTTAGCATAACTGGACCTTTCCCTTTATCATGAATCAGTATATTTCATCAATCCTGCAAACCTGTTCTCCTTTAACTCTGCAAATGAGTCACTACTTATGCAGTAAGTGTTGAACTTGTTATCTGAATCTTTGCTAAGTTTATTCTTAAAACCTAAAGCCTGTTCGATTATTTGCTCTATGTGCTCAACTTGACTATGTTTGTATCCCTCAGTTTTGTCCCTTAACCTTAGTTTACTCTCCTTCACTTGTTACCTGGGCTCTTTTGAGTTCTCATTCTTAGCTGGCTGAAAGCCAAGGTTACCTAGGTTCTATCATTGACCTCCCTAGTGTGAGCACTACTCAGGGTCCAATTGAGACCCTTGTGAATTCTGACACACTAGGACTTGGTCCTTATTCATTCCCTTAATCTCAAACTACTCCCATTTATCCCATTTTATCTTATTATCTGTTGTATACCTGAATTGGTTGATTTAAATGGTGCAATAGTTGGCATTGTGGTCAAATAAATCGACTTTGGGCTCCTTTATGGATTCTGGGGTCGTGTGTTGAATATCAACCCTTATTAGAGGCCCGGGTATGCTTACTGAAGGCCCAGACAGTGCTGGGTATTTCATTTAGGCCTGCTGAAGGCTTATTGTCATCGCTTTGTAAAATACTTTGATTTTATTCATTATTTGGCCTGTAATAACTTTTGTATAAACGAATGGGGCGCTAGTAACAGGGGAAATGCGTAGAATTCTAGGACCTCTCCCAGCAGATTTTGTTATATTCAACTGCTTAGGTCACCTAGGCATAACACATATAGGGTTAATAACTTCCAATTTGCGATAACCATCTTGTAATGCCTGAATAATTCTGCCCATGAGCAATATCCTGCATCTGAAACATCCACGTACTTTGATTCAAAGCCACCTAGAAACCATATTTATAGTCTAAGGTTCTGAATTCTTAAAATCTCCTAATTTGCATATGTGTTTGGGTGCATTTGGTGTTTAAGTGTGGGGGTCAATGTGAGCCCTTAGCTGCTTTTATGTGAAGTCTTTATGTGTTTTTGCTTGCGCCTAGTTTTGCATTTTGAGCATCCTAGATAAGGTCTAGAACCATCCAAATAGAGGTCCAAAACCCCCTGGACCATAGGCATGGGACGGGTAATGCACGCATAAGGTACGATTAATAATTGAACTAGTGCGCTTTAGGTAACAACTTGAAGATAGTAATCGGGTAGCAGGAGATGATAGTCTGTGCTCGCTGAATAATATGAGTAACACCCCCATTCTGAGGGAGTTACGAAGTATTATTCATAATCGAGCATAAAGACCTACACTGCACACAATGTCAGGTCTGCTAGTAGTGATATATAAAAGAGAACCAATCATTCACCTATACAACTTCTGATCGAGCATAAAGACCTACGTTCATCTATATCCAATTTCGTGGATGTTGCAATAGGAGTGTCAATTTCTTTAGATGTTTCTTCTTGGTTTTGTTACTAAGGAATAGGTTCATGGACCGGTTCCCTCGAGATTTGAGGATTAGTTCCTCTCTAGTCAGTTCCCCCTGTCATGTTGCCCTGGGTAGAAGAACCTGTTCCATCACCTGTTCCTTCTTCTGGAGCAGCTTCAGTCTGGACTGTGATTTCACCATTTGAATTCTTATCAGCCCAATCTCTTCATTATCTTATTCCTGCATCTCAGAAAGAATGTTAGTTTTAAAAAAATAACATATACATTTTTTCTACACACATAGTTCTTTTACTCTATATCTTATAAGCTTTACTGTGTGAAGAATATCCCAAGAATACTCCCTCATCACTTCTGGGATCATACTTACCTAGGGAGTCTTTGCCATTATTGTGCGCAAAGCACTTGCATGTAAATGCCCTAAGATGGAATATATTTAGCTTTCTCCCTTTAAGTGACTCATAGGGAATCTTCTTAACAAGAGGTCTAGTCATGCAACTATTTATGATGTAGCATGCAAAAATTCAGCAAACTTAGCATTTTCAAATTCAGTTCCATGATCAGACCTAATTGATGCAAGATGATTACCTAGTTGTTTCTGAGTTTTTCTAACAAAAGAAGTAAACATGTCAAATGCTTCATCTTTAGATGTTAAAACCAATGTCCAAGTAAACCTAGAGTAATCATCAACAAGCACCATCACATATCTTTTACCACCTCTGCTTAATGTTCTCATTGGACCACAGAGATCCATATGGACCAGTTCCATCGTCTGGTGATGCTTACCATTTTCTTGCATTTAAAAGAGGATCTTACCTGCTTCCCCTTGCACAAGCCTCACAAACTTTGTCTTCCTTGAACTTGATGTTAGGCAGCCCTATCACCAGATCCTTGGAGACTAATTTGTTGAGTTGACTCAGACTTGCATGTCCAAGTCTCTTGTGCCAAGGAAGGGGATCATTGTCCAACACACTTAAGCAAGTGAGTTCATTTTCTGAAAGTGTGGACAAATCTACAATGTATGTATTGTTTACTCTTTTTCCCTGCAAAACAATCTTGTCAGTGGTAAGATTAATCACAAAATATTTGGTAGAGGTGAATGCTACCAAGTTACCTCTATCACATAATTGTGATACACTGATTAGACTGTACTTTAAGCCATCTATCAAGTAGACATTCTCAATAGAGTGAGAATCAGTCTTACCTACCTTTCCAACCCCAATGATCTCACCTTTCTTCCCATTTCCAAAGGAGACATTACCTCCTTTAAGGTTCTCAAGTGAAAGGAACTGGTTCTTGCTTCCTGTCATATGCTTTGAACAGCCACTATCCATGTACCATATTTGGCTGCTCCCCTTCACTTGGACCCGCAAAAGGAAATCAGGGGTTAGTCTTAGGAACCCAAACTAGTTTGGGTCCCTTTCTATAGGCAAAAGGGTGAATCAGATTCTTTTAGCCCAACCTGGCAGCCTATTTTTCCCTTGAACAAATTCTTTATTCTTTTGACTAGCCTTTTCTTTTGCAATACATTCACTTTTATAGTGACCAGTTTTACCACAGTGTGTGCAAATTTTGTTCTCAGGAAGTGTGAGGTACTTGCTTTTGGGATCCCACTTAGGTGCAGGGGTCCCATAGCCAAGTCCTCTCTTATTGCTACTATGGTGTTCATGTAGCCATGAAAGTGCATCGGAGGACCTATTCCATTTACAAGTTCTGTCTAGCTCGTGCTTAACCTTGCTTAGATCCTCCTTAAGGACTCTTATCTGCTCATCTCTTTTGTACAACTCGTCTTTCATTTTTCCTAGGTTTTCTTCTAATGTGAGTTGTGTGTGATCAGCTTTCTTTTTACCTGTTCCTAATTTCAGTTTTAGATTTTCAGATCTTAGCTCTAGGACAGTGGTGTTAAGTTCATGAACCTGGTTCTTTAACTCAGCATTTTTACTTTCACTTTCACTAGCCCTAAGTTCCAGATTTTTGCACTTAGCTTTCAAAATCACACACTCCTTAGACAGCTGTTTCTTTTCATTGTTTAGATCCTCAGATTCATCAATGAAATCCAGGAGTAACTCAGATAGCCTTTCTTTAGACAAAAATTTAATCTTGTCTTTGAGATGAATTATACTTACCTCAGATTCCTCATCGGATTCTCCAATTGCCATGAGTGCTTGTTCATCTCCATCTTCATTCTCTGAGTCCTCATCTGAGCTTTCTCCCCAGGCAGCAACCATAGCCTTTGTTGATCCTTTGTTCTTCTTGGGTTGAACCAGTTTCTTCTTCCTGTTGCTTCGTTCAGCTCTTTCCTTCTTCCATTCAATTTCCCATTGAGGGCAGTTTTTGATGTGGTGATCAGTCTTCCCNATTCCTATTTATCTATGAGTCAATTGTTTGTATTTATTTAAAGTCTGTTGATAATAAAACTTCCCAAACTTCTTTGTCTATGTTTATCTGACTAATTCATATAATTCAAGTTCGGCCAGGACCCAAAGTTGTCTTGAAGAGTGCCTAACACCCTCTATTCGAGGTAATTTCGAGCCCTTACCAGATCTTTGGTGATGCAAACTAGCCAAACCTGAGTCATCTATAAATAGGTGCCCTAACGCACCTTAAAATTGTTAGGTGGCGACTCTTCTCTTTTAACCCTTCCTTTAAAAGAGTTGTCACATGTCGAAACCCGATTTTGCGAGAAAAAGGGGCGCAACAAATAACTATACTCTTTGGGATCGATGAGAATTGCTCTACGAGGAAGAAATAAGCTAGGTATAGTAGAAGGAAAGTAGAAAAAAGGGGAATTTTCATGATAATCTGTGGGAACAGTGGGAGAGATGTAATGCTATTGTACTCTCCTGGTTTATGAATGCTATAACTCCTCAACTTATTGGAGGAGTTGTGTTTGAATCAAGTGCACATGCAGTGTGGGAAGATCTCAGAAAGATGTTCAGCAAGGTAGATGGATCTAGGTCTTACAATCTGCACAAAGAGATTGCAACTCTGCATCAAGGTACATCTTCAGTTTCTGTGTACTATACAAAATTAAAAGATCTGTGGGATGAATACAAAACTCTAGTACCATCACCTAGCTGTGATTGTGAAAATTCTAGGGATTATGTAGTACACATGAGAAGGCAAAAGTTGTACCAATTTCTAATGGGCTTGAATGAGTCACACTCCCTAGCAAGGAGTCAGATATTACTAATGCATCTTTCACCATCAATGAATCAAGCATACTCTATGATCATGAGAGATGAGAACCAAAAATCAGTAGTTGCTATAGTAGGAAGCTTAGGCACAACTGCTATCACCTCTGAGAATTTTGAGCCTACTGCATTGCTCAGTTCTAGGCTTGGGAGCTTTCAAAACAATAGTTTTCAAACTGGTGGTTCTAATATGCAGTCTGGCAACTTTTATCCTAATAGCTACCCGAGACCAAAGAAAGGCTATGGTGACTTTTGTGAGTATTGTAGGAAGAAAGGCCATAGAAAAGAGAATTCCCACAAGATCATTGGTTATCCACTAGGACCTAAATCCAAGAAGAAAGGGGGAGCAAGCAATTCCTCTGCTTATAGTGTCTTCACTGAAGAAACAAATCAAAACTATCAAGCACAACCACAGTCCATGACACAGACTCAACAAGGACAAAGCTCACAAATGCAAAGCCAACCACAGTTGATGATGCAGGCTCCAGGACCTCATAACAATGGATAGGGGAAGCAAACATCTCAAACTCCTGCTTATTCATTTATTAAGGAACTGTATGACCAAATAGTACATATACTAAACAAAGCTACTGGAACCATTCCTTCAGCAAATATGGCAGGTATCAGTAGTGCATGTTTAGCAGATAATAAAGCTCATGGATGGATTATTGATACAGGAGCCACCAACCACATGGTGTCTGATCCTAATCTGTTGTCTAAGGCCGAAGAAGTCAAACCTAATATTTCTAAGCAAGTTCACTTACCTAATAGAGAAGTAGCTAATGTTACACACATTGGTACTAGTATACTTTCAGCATGGAGCACAATTGAAAATGTGTTATACATTCCTCAGTTAAGATATAATTTGCTACCAGTGTCAAAGCTAACTAAGGCTCTACAGTGCTGTGTTGCTTTTTTCCATGATTTTTGTGTTTTTTAGGATCTTTACAGTGGGATAATGAAAGCAATTAGTAAAGAAATAGGTGGCCTTTACATTCTAGCACCACATGTAGCTAAGATAGTAGAAGCAAGGAGCATAGCCGTCAAGGAAACTGAAGCAAAGAATCTGCAAAATGCAATACAGAAAGAAGAAGTAGATGCTGAGTTGTGGCATAAGAGATTGGGGCATGTGTCAAGTGGTGTCACGCCCCGAACCTGGGGGGCGAGACCGGCACCCGGTGCCTCACCTATCCTTGCATACCAACTTGCGACTAGGGGACTCTGAACATATAATGTCATACTTTGGCCATGGGCCACATTGCAAGACAATTTCTAAAGCAAAATATAAAAGTGAACGGAAACTAATGCTGACTAAACATCAATATAAAACTAGACCGTCATAACTACTACAGCTGACAAACCAACAAAATATACATACAAGGCCTACAAGTCCAACATACTGCACTAACTAACGGGATATATCTACAAGCCTCTACTGATAGATGTACTGTGATCGGAATAGGGCCCCGACCTACCCATAACCTATATACATATATACATAAGATGTACATAAAACTCTAGGCCCGGCAACTTTGAAAGATGTGGAGCTACCGATAAAGCTGAACTCGGGCAACACCTACTGAAGAGGTCTACCCGTCTGTCTGTAAGTCTGAACTGCACGCATGAAATGCAGTGTCTCTAGAAAAAACGGACATCAGTACGAAATAACGTACCGAGTATGCAAGGCAATAAAATAACTGAAAGCTGAAACTGAACTGATAATATAATAACATAAAGTAACTGGGAGTCAAATATGATCTGGAGGTACACTTACCTGCTAATACTAACTCAACTTTTTCAATATAGTAAGTAAAATAAATGTCCGGCTCTATAAGGCTCGGAACCTGTAACTGCTCTGCCGTAGTAGGCTCGCTCATAGGCGCTCGGCCATACTAGGCTCTGTATCTCGGCCATTCTCGGCTCACTCATAGGCGCTAGGCCACAGTAGGATCGGTATATAACTTACCATCTGATCAGAGTTTTTCCAATAGGGGCCTTCCCATTGATTATAGCTCGATGGTGGTGAAAATATTATAACATTGTGTGTGTGTATGTGTGTCTATATATATATATATATATATATAGACTCGTTGCTCTCTTGACTGGAAGAAAATAATACTTAACTGAATATAAAGTCCCGATAAGGGGGGATACTATAACTTATGAAACTAGGATAATATACATAAGTTACGTAACACAAACTTCTCTTTATGCCTCGTTATCAAACTCACGTAGTTACGGGATTATGACAAAATGAAGGAAGGGCTTAACCTTAACATACCTGAACCGATTCTCTTGAGAAAGATTGCACCGTACTCCCTTATAATTGCAAAATCTCACGTTGCTTAAGATGCTATGAAATCTCACGTTTTGAATTGTTGAAGAACCTATGAAATCTCACGTTTTGAATTGTTGAAGAACCTATGAAATCTCACGTTGCTTATGAAGTTTATCTTGCTGAAGCCTTACTTGGATGTAATACCCTTCCTTTTGAAATAGAGAAGGAATCTTAGTCTTGGTCGTGTGGGCCCCACCTTTCAAGACTTGGTGTCACATTTTTTTTCTTAAAATGTGCCACATTTCAATCTCTAGTAAGAGTCATTAGATGAGAAGGGGGTGCTTCCACGTTGGGGAGGTTTTAATCTCATCCAAATTCTTTAATTAATCACCCAATCAATTCCTTAATTAACTAGGTAATCTCTCATTACCCAATAATCAACCAATTACCCACATAATTAAGAATTATCTCAACTTACTTAAAATAGTACTCACCTTTAACATACCTTATACACCTTACTATCATGGTCATGTAGTACCTTGTATGGTACTAGTCCATAAATACCGGGTATTATAGCTCTGACTGTATTTTATCCCAAATCGACAATCTTCCATGAAACTCATTTTCTTTGATTTGTTTGTCCTTTAACCTTTACGGCACTTTACTTATCATTTGCTATAAATAGCATAAATGCTTATAACCTCAAGAAAATCTCATCCCCGAGTCTATGCCGATTAACTTACGACGAAACTTTTACGTACGAAGTGCCGGATATAACAAGTGGAGTACTTCAAAAGTTGTTTTCAATAAAGCTAGACAATTGTATGTCTACTATAAATAAGTGTCATGTGTGTCCACTTGCTAAAGACACTAGACTTGCATTCCCTAGTAGCAGTATCAAAACTACTCAATGTTTTGAACTAGTACATGCTGATGTATGGGGACCATATAGAGTCTCAACTTTTGATGGAAATAAATACTTTCTAACTCTGGTAGATGACTTCTCAAGAATGACTTGGTTGTTTCTTTTAAAGCTCAAATCAGATGTTTGTGTTGTGTTAAAACAATTTCTGTGTTATGTATGAAATCAGTTTGACAAAGGAGTTAAAATTGTCAGAACTGATAATGGAACTGAATTTGTAAACTCAACCTGCACAGAATTGTTTGAAGCACTTGGAGTGATGCATCAGAGAACATGTGCCTATACTCCTTATCAGAATGGAGTAGCTGAGATAAATCATAGACACATCTTAGAAGTTTCTAGAGCTATGAGGTTTCAAGCACATATTCCTCTAAAGTACCGGGGTCACTGTATTCTAGCTGCAGCTTATGTCATAAACAGGATGCCTTCTACAGTCCTATATGGTGCATCACCTTTTGAGAAGATGTATAATAGAAAACCTTCACTAGAACATCTTAGAGTGATGGGATGTCAGTGTTATGCCAAAGATGTACAAGTCCATGACAAGTTTATGCCAAGAGTAATTCCTGCAGTGCTAATGGGATTCTCATCAGTTCAGAAAGGCTATGTACTCTTAAATTTGACTAACAATTGCTTCTTTGTTAATAGGGATACTATCTTCAAAGAAAATGTGTTTCCATTCAGAAATCAACACACTTCTCACTCACCTATTTTCTTGCCACATGATATCACAGCCTATGATCAATCATCTGAAATCAACCCTGGACAAAAAAAAGAGATCAACCCTGAAGAAGAAATGATCCCCACTGAAGATACTGATCTTCCTATGGTAGGTGATCTGGAAGATGAAGCAGGTTCACCAGATCCTGCTCATGTTCAAGAGCAAGCACCTGCACCTGTACTTGCACAGTCGCATGGGGATCAATCCCTACAACCTGCTAGATTTAGAAGATCTACAAGAGATAGGAACCCACCTATCTGGCTAAAAGACTTTGTTTCTCTAAATGTTCATCAGAATGTTCCTTATAGCATAGCCAACTATGTAAACTACAGTGGTATTTCCTCCAAATATCAAGAATATCTTGCAGCATTTTCCTCCATTGTTGAACCTTCTTCCTTTGCTGAGGCCAGCTAAGACCCTAGATGGGTGGAAGCTATGCAATCAGAGATTGAGGCACTGAAGAGTAACAATACATGGGAGGTAGTACCACTTCCTAAAGGCAAGAGTCCTATTGGATGCAAGTGGGTATATAAAGTTAAGTATAAAGCTTCTGGAGAGGTGGAAAGGTTCAAGGCCAGGCTAGTGGCTAAGGGATATTCACAAAAAGAAGGGATTGACTACAAGGAGACTTTTTCTCCTGTAGTCAAGATGGTAATTGTGAGGACAGTCCTATTTGTTGCTGCTGCTAGGAGGTGGCACATCCATCAAATGGATGTGTGTAATGCCTTTTGCAAGGTGACCTGTTTGATGAGATCTATATGGGCTTAAACAAGCTCCAAGACAGTGGAATGAGAAGCTCACTAAAGCTTTATGTGCATTTGGCTTTTCTCAGAGCCAATATGATCACACTCTATTTGTCAAGAAGCTACCAGAAGGAGGCATTGTTATTGTGCCAGTGTATGTAGATGATATGCTGGTACTAGTCTACAACTGATAGAAGAAACAAAGACAGCCTTGCAGCAAACCTTCAAGATGAAGGACTTAGGGGAACTAAAGTATTTTCTGGGGATAGAATTTCTCAGGTCTGAGAAAGGAATTCTATTACATCCGAGAAAATATGCATTAGAACTCATCTCAAAACTTGGACTTGGAGCAGCTAAGCCAGCTATAACACCTTTCGAGATGAATGCAAAGTTGACTACAAAGGAGTATGATGATCATTTGAAGATTCAAGAAAGTGCAGAAGATGAACTACTGACCGATCTAGGAGCTTACCAAAGATTAATCGCGAAGTTTTTGTACCTAACAGTAACAAGGCCTAATCTAGTATTCAGTGTACAAACCTTGGGTCAGTTCCTACAGCAACCAAAAAGATCCCACATGGAGGCAGCTATGAGGATAGTCAGGTATGTGAAGAACCATCCTGGGCAAGGAGTGTTCCTGTCAAGCAATAACAAAGGGACACTAGAAGCCTATTGTGATGCAGACAGGCTGCCTGTCAGCACTCTAGGAAGTCAGTAACAGCCTTTCTAATAAAGTTAGGGGATTCTTTGGTATCCTGGAAGTCCAAAAAATAAGCCAATGTGTCAAGAAGTTTAGCAGAGGCAGAATATAGAAGCTTAGCAGCTACAGTTACAGAGCTGGTCT